TAGATAGATAGATAGATAGATAGATAGATAGATAGATAGATAGATAGTTTATTATCAAAAACCTTGCAGCCACAGGCTGAATTACGTTTGATTTACAATAAAATATATACTACAAAAAATACATGGCTAAGAAGAACTAATTAAAAAGACAAAAATATATAATTAAGAGAAAAACAATATTACATCATTGCTTTATGGACATAGTGATGGATAAAACTATTTCGAGTACGAATGGTGTGGAGGCGCCGTGTAGTAAAAGAGTGCTGACTCCTTAAATTGACTTCGCACTCATTCTTGGGAGGTAGTAAGCTATAGAGCTTGTGCGAGGGATTAGACAGGATGGAATTAAAAAGCTTATCACATAAGAACTCGCGGCGGTTGTGTAAGGGAACTAGACCAGTCAAAAGAAGCGCCTCATTGTACGAACAATCTGGATAGATAATACGTAAAGCTCGCCTTTGACATCTCTCAAGATCTACTGAAAGGTATTGCGGGAGGCTATGATGATAAACAGGGCATGCATATTCAGTGACAGGCCTAATACAAGTCAAATAGAAGAGCAAAAGTTCCTCCGACTTGACCTGTGCACGCTTAAGCTGACTTAGAGCGAGGTTCAGGTGGCTGTGTATTGATCTACTTTTTTTTTATTTACGGCCCTTAAGAGGGTTTGTTTTACACTTTTTAACAAAAATATTCGCAGGACCTCACAGATCATGTGATAAATACATAATAAGACTTAATTTACCTTTGATGGGTTTCAGGCATTTTCATATGAAGGCTGGTGTTATTCCCAGTCACACAAACATGACCTTTTTGTATGGTCTGATGTAAGTGAACCTCTGAATAAAAATTCATGAAAGAAACGTGTGAGCTAAAATAGCCGAAATTCCATGAGCCTACTGAAGTAATTACTGTTTTTAACAGTAAGTAGCAGTTCACGTCATTTTATTTATTTGTTCACTTGAGAGCACTTTGCGGCATTCTTGTGCTTAACAACAGCATAAGATTCCGTGCTTAAGCTTGCCTCATATTACACGGCTTTAAGCAAAAATAATTGATAATCAATAGGACAATGAGACTGTCTCACCAACGGATCCGAAGGTTTGTCGTGCATAACTATTTATTATCTCAGTTGTGGAAGGATCCATTACGAAGTTTCCATTCTGGTCGCATGGAGAGCGTGCAGTCGAGGGAAGTGCTATTTCAACTCCAATTTGAGCGGTACAATCTGATTAAAAAGAATGGCGTTAGTAACATCATCGATTCACCTTATACAAAGAGTTCATCGGCAAAGATAACGCTTTCAGTGTTGTCCTTCTGTACTGGTTTCTCTTGTCCGGAAATAGTGCATTGTTTTATGAACTCTTTAAGATTTGTTTCTACTAAAGCTATTGGCTGAATTCACAGAAATTCGCCCCTATGCCTTGATTACACCAAATCCGTCTTCACCGTCTTCCACCTTCACGTTTAACTCTTTTGATCATGATAGTCAAGGCGAATTTACATTTACCAGTCCACACCCGAAAAACTGACGTGTGTGGGTGAAAATGGCTATTTTGACGTATGTGTGTATAACAGCTTTTAAAAAATTGAGTTCTTTAACATCGTTCTAGTTTCAGTTGGAGTGAGAAAATCCCTAAGAGAAAGAGTTTCTAAAGGCATAAAAATAATGTGAGATAATTGCCTGTAACGTATGAGCTAGAAATGTGAGTACCTTTAGCAGCCGCTTCAGCAATAGCGACGAAATCGTTGCTATCAACAAAAATTGCCTCTGATCTCCATTTGTACGATAACCTGAGCCTCATCACTCCCAATGCTTCGGTCGTGCAGCGCACGTCGAGGTGACAACTTGTGATCTCAGCTGCTTGTTCTCTGAGCTCCTCGTAGCCAAATTCTCTTTGAAGCAACCTCAATGCCTCAGATATGCTCTCTCTGCGTGTTGAATACAGAACCAGGCGCTTACTTCCGGAATCTGTAAGTTCTATTTTGACTCTAGCAACCGGAATCTGCCAACTGTTGAGGTCTTTAGTGATCGACGCAGGTAGCAGCACAACACATTTAAAGGCTCCAACCTGTCGAATTTTCCCGTCCAGGTGAACATGAGCGAGTGTTCCCAGCTGTAGCTTACTTTCATGCTCTTTCTCAATCCAGAAATGTTGATAATAGGTGTCGTGTGGCTTGTCATACTTTAATGCCCCACTGTAGCATGTTACTGGGGAACTGTCTGAAAAAGTCACTTCAAATCTCACCAGCTTTCTCGGGTCAAATGTCGCAAACCTTATCAGGCTTTGGGACACATCGTAAAAGAAACGCATTTCTTTCTTTCTGACACTGCGAATATCTGCTGAAAATCTCTTTAGGGAGCGGGAGAAGAGCTGTAGTCTCTTGAAAAGTTTATTTTCCTGTCGGCTTTGGAAAAAAGCTTTTAAGAACTCAGACATATTCCATATTCCCAGACTGTCACTCCACCTTTCAATCAGTTCGCATGAATACTTTTCACAATTATTGAGACACAAATTCTGAAGAACCTTGCAAACCTCATACACTAGTCTTAAAATGTCTTCATTTTGAAAAGCTTTAAGAACATCGGCCTCATGTTGCTGAACGATTTCCGTGTGAAGTCCCTTCAGTCCATTTTGTATTACCTCATCTTCACTCTGACGGAAAATCTCTTTAACAGCTTGAATTAGAAATGGAACAACATTGAGGAAATCTTTCTCAATGGACCGCGCAGAAAACGAGCAAATCTGTTCCAACTTAATGGCAACATCTTCGGTTACTCTTTTGTGGAAGAAAAGAAAACGCGGGCAGTTTTCTGTGTAAGCGTCTGCATCTATTTCTATGCAACAGTCCTTCAGTATGGAATCACAAAGATTTCCAATCTCTTTGGTGAAATATTCTTTCAGATGGTGGTCTTTGCGTTTCAAACCATGAATATCGCAGGCCAGTTCTCTCAAATGATTGATGTGCATCTTTCCCCTTTCATCCACCTCGACATCTAAGTTAAAAGAAGCACGAGCATCAAATGACATGATGAAAAGAAAATCCGAGACCTGTAGTAAATTTCGCACAAAAGAAATCATTGTAAAGTAGCTTCTCCGAGAAATATCGTTCTACATCAATTTTGATATTGGGACACGGACTAACCTTCTGGATTGAATTCCTGAAGGGCATCTCTCAAAGTGACGAGTTCGTCATTTTCTCTGTCATCTTGTTCCATTGACCAGTGTTGAAGAATCGTTTTCAGCTGTTCGTCATCGTCGAGCCAACATTGAATGGCCTCATGCACAACTTCGTTGGGCAATTCAAGTTTCTGGGTAATGGGTAAGAGGTTAAGTATCGATCCCTCTATTCTCAGCAACCTCCTCACGAACCTACAGCGGTCTGTAAAGAGAGGAACAGACTACCCAATATGACAAGTCTGTACTATTATTTTAAACAACTCAAGCTATATCCTCTTTCTTCCTTTTCATTTGTTACCGAGAGTGGATGGGTTTGGTAACTTGCTTACCACTGCAAGGAAACTTGAGCGAAATGAAGCAAATGGCCGAGTCACTTTGTGGTTTCATGGTTGGATTTATAACAGGAGTTTTTAAGTGGATATTAAGGCAAGAAGATAATATTGAACTGTGTTCTGTAGTGTATGTAGAACCATTAGACTCACCCAACTCACAGAAGGCTGCAGTAAGGAAATGTCCATGTTGGCCTTCAACGACTATCTTTCCGCATAAGATTTTGGTCTCTCTGATACTTTTCAGGGATAGTTTGATGACATGTCCTGTGCTCCACCACAGTGAAGATTCTACAGTGAGATTCCTGCTTTCATTTTGTCCACCATTTAGCTTCTAGTCTTCTCCCAGAAGGACAGAAACCTTTAGGATTTCACTGTTATAGATAAGATGGCTCTCAGGTTTATCTATTGATAAAAATTCTTCAAATCCATCACTCTTAAGTTTCACCAATACTGACGATGGATTTTCTCTGTAACACTTTTCGTGATAGATGTCGTGGCTCATGAACGCAAGGGCCAGTTCAGCGAAAGGTGCTCGTGGATGATTATCTTTGAACAGCATTGTTAATGTGTAGCTGAAACCTAAAAGGTTTACTCGCGTTACAACATCTTTGGCTAAAATTGATGTCAATCTCAAAAACGTTGCAATCCGGGAAAAAGTCTTGATCTCAACTTTCAGCTCTTTCTTTTCCGTGTCAAGGTTTGATTCACTTGTGACATTTTCCCATATGATTTTTCCTCCACCAGCTTGAGTTCCATGCAAAGTTAGCACGTCGTCAGGAGAGGAATCACTGTCACTGTCGATGTCAAGTTTGATTGTCACGAAAACTGGTTTGTTGAATACGTGACCATTTGGTTGTAAATTTATGACGGGTGCAATAAACATGACATCGTTTTCAAGTCCATTGGCGACAATCATGTCACAGTGTGTCGAAGGTTCCTCCAAAGCTATCTTGATAGACACCGAATCATCAGTGCGGCCTATTGCACCACACGGGCAAACCAGTTGGAAGCCATTTAAAACTAAAAATCCGCCTCTATAATCAATGCTTTTATCAGCTTCGACATTTGCTCGTGATGACAGAAACCTCTGGTCACTATTTTGTTGGGCTCCACTAGATTGTTGAAGTCCAATGTACGACGCACGTTTCTTTGATTCAAGTGCGGCGTCAGAGTCCTTTAGCCGGTGTTGTCTAACACCCAGTGAGAAAGAGCTTTCAGCAGTCTTTGGGTGCTCTTTACCTTCAAGTCTTTCTCTGATTTCCGACGCTGTCTTCTTTGATTCTACAGCTGCGACAAAGTCACGAAGGTAGTGTTGTATAACACCAAGTAAATAATAACTATCTGCTGTCTTCGGATGCTCTTCGCCAAGTACTTTTCTCCTTATTGAAAGGGAAGAGTTGCTTGAGCTAAGTGCAAAGGAAAATTGTCCTTTGTCTTGTTGGACCAACCCAAGTAAATAAAAACAGTCTGCAACTTTTGGATGGTCTTCTCCAAACAATCTTTGTCTTATTTCAAGTGCGCGTTCATTTGAACTTAAAGCTAACTGGACATTTCCCAATGAGAATTGGGTAACTCCAAGTGAATAGTAGCTGTCCGCAGTCTTCGAATGATGTTCACCGTAGAGTTTCAGTCGGATTTCAAGAGATCGCTTAATGGACTCGAGAGCCGAAGAGAAGTCTCCTTGCGAATGTTGTATGATTCCAACTGAATAGTAATTGTTGGCAGTCGAAACTAGTTGGGTTGGCCCTGTCGATGAATCATCTTTCGTAGGCTTCCCCTCAAGCAATTTAAGGCTAATCTCAAGGGCTCGCCTATTTGAATCATAGGCTGCGATGAAATCACCAAGTGAGCTGTGAGTAGCTCCAACTGAATAGTAGCTTTCTGCTGTCTGCCAATGTTTGTTACCCAGTAATTTCAGCCGCATATTAAGGGCAAGCGTACTTGACTCAAGTGCAGACAGAAAGTTGCCAAGTGAATGTTGTGTCACGCCTACTGAGTAATAACTCTCAGCAGTCTTTAAATGTTCTTCTCCAAAAATTTTCCTTCTGATCTCAAGAGCGCGGATATCTGATCGAAGAGCTGGGGCAAAATCTCCCATTGAGTGCAAAGTAACTCCTAACAAATGGTAACTGTCAGCGGTCTTTGGATGGACCTCGCCCAGCAACGATGTTCTGAGTTCAAGTGCACACCTCGTGTACTTCAGAGAAGTGGAAAAGTCTCCTCTTCTGTAATATTTGAGGGCAAGTGCATCATAGTCGTCATCAGTCATTCCCATGTTAACCGCTTCTTTTTAAGACCTCCTGAAGCAGGTCATCTCATTACATGCTAAGTTTTCGATTAAATCGAAGCTAGCGGGGCTGGGATTTCTTCCTCTGAGAATTTTCGATTTTCCTGTGTCAAGATAAAAGAGAGTAGTACAAGTAAGCTCGCCCTATTACTAAATACATCAAAGGGGGTAACTTTCTATGGAAACTGTGGTCTTACGTCTTGGGCAATGGAGTGGCGAGATTATTTGGTTTTATTTTATTTTGGCTTAATGCAGCTGCCTGAAAAGACAACCTTTCGTTCGCACGCCAATCCAGAAATGGTTTTAGCGGAATTGACTTGATCAAGGCCTGCATAAAAAGCCTCCCTCTCTTTCCCTGTGAGTTCTCTTGAACTCACGATGAAAGTGTTAAAAAAAAAAAACACTCGCCTCAGGCTTTGCAACAAAATTGTGTACTACCGTAAAACAACCACAGTGGGTCCAGTAGCCCCTTCCCTTGGTAAACCGTATGAGTACCTGCCACCATGTCATCAGACGTGGTGGCAAGTACTCAGAACTTCTTTAATATCCACTGTTGTTCGAGTGCCACGGAGCTCCGGGATCAAGTGGATTGTGGACAAGGTTCCTCAAAAGAAAGAGTGGTTGTAGCAAATGCATGCCGTGAAATTGAAGCAAGTTTAGCCAAATTCCAACAATTTTTCTTCAAGTTGTCCGAGTCTGTTAGCTGTGCGTCAGTTTGACAATTTTTTAATATTTCATTGCTTAAAGTAATAATCATGAAATACGGAAAGAAGTTGCTGTAATCCGCAACTAAGTTTGACTCTTCATTCATTTTGAAGTACAAGTCAAGTCATTCATGTCCAAGATAAAAAATGACAGACCCAGAATTTACCCTTACGGTTTCGAGAATAACCTAGGGCAAGAAGAACTCAAGCGAGCTCATTAGAACTAGCTTTTACAGAGATCTACCTTTTCATTGTATAATTCAAAATCTATATGAGTTAGGCGTCGATCCAAATGGGATAAAAATCATTTCAAAGTAATATAATTATTTGTAAAAGGAAATATGAATCATTGTTATATATTCTCTAATTGATATATGAATTACCTGTCATCATTAATTACGAGGTCCAATCTCAGATAATTCAAGCTGAATAACTTTTTTTAAAGATTTTATGAGTTTGCCTTAAAATCTCAAATTGTAAATTATTCCATACTTTTGGTTCATGATATTTATTTTATAAAGAATTTTCCAAGGTTGTCCTACTATAAATGCTATGCACGTTTGATTGAGATCAAGTATTATAAGAGTGAATATTGCCTTTATTTGTAAGGCAGTCTTTGTAAAACTTTGGTAATTTTGGCCCTCAACCACAGAAACAGTTTTAATACAACTTGAATAAAACTCACTGAACTATTTAATAGTGAAAATAGGAGAAAGGCACAGAAGAAAAAAGCTGGACGAGAAGAAGAGAATTTTGGTTTAATCTCCAAACTACTGTCTGATGGTGAGATTCCAGTTAAGGAAGTCAATGTGGCTGCTCTAATATCCTTAAAAAGGACACACGTTTACTGGCTAAAGCAAATGATGGAAAGAGGGCTTACAAGTGATCAAGTTTGTACACTAATTAAAGAGTACTGGCCCTCTATCAGCTCTTCAAACAGTGAATCAGAGGACAGTGATACTGAGTAATACTGAGTAATACATGAAGTTTTTTTTCTAATGTGAAAGGACTGCTATATACACCATGTTATGTTGATAACATTTTGATAATAAATCATATTTGACTTGTTGTTGATTCCTTCAGTGTTGTTTCTTTTTTGTGGAATGGAAATTGGAATACACAAAAATACATGGCCCCTCAGAAATGGTTGCACAATTTTATGCAGCCCCCCCTTTTTCAGGTGCACAAAAAGGTATGACCCCACCCCATTTGCACCAGCCCACGCCCCTCTAATAAATGACTGGTCCCTTATATAGAGCTGAGTGCCATTATGTAATTGGGAGAAAAAAAAGGAATTAACGTTTGTGTACTCTTAGCCTGAAATTTAAGGGGATACCCACATCCCACGTGATATACTGGGTATCCCATCTCACATGGGACTACCTGCATGTTCATTGGTCGATGACTTGGGTATTTCCCTAATCTTGTGATGAGCACTTTTTCATCCCTGTTTATTTATATCATGTGTGATTTCTTGGAAATGAAATTATTACTTGGCCACCCATGAGTGTAAAATTGGGAGGGAATACCTATGGGGCTGCTGAGTTCCTGGTATTCGTCAAGGTCAGCATTTCTTAATATCTCCTTATATTTTTTTAGTTATAATGTTTTCTTTTGTAGGGGTGTGTATTTTAAGTATCTTTACTTCTTTTACATCAGATGACTTCCTTTAAATTGGGAGATGATACTGCTCTTTAATTGGGCCATGAGGTGGAGGGAAGTCTATACAATCTCAAAACAATAAAGGTATATAACAGTTGAAAAACATGTCTTGATATGTATTCTATTATCTGCACTCTGGGTTAGGATAATACTTGCTCTGGTTTCTCTACGCCCGCCTTACTGAGGTGCTTGCTGCATACATATTTATGTTAGGAGAAGAGAAGGGATGACAAATTCAGGACTTCTAGTTTCCGCTTAATTCATAATGGGTGTCTGGAATGATAGACCTTATGCTCGTTACAAAAAAATCAAGATATTGTCATGAAAAAAGTTACAAAATCATGTGGGCTATTTACTGAAAGAGAAATCCAACGCGAAATCCAAACTAGTGGAAAAATCCCCCTTCCGTGAGTGTCTCAAAGCGATCGGCTGAACTGTTTACATGCGAAGAATTTCGCTTGGAACTGCTGACTAATCGCTCTTTCCAAGATGCTTCACAACAAATGAACACTGTTCTTCACCAACCACAATCTTAAGCTCGTGAATTAACTTCGGATGACAATTTTCTGACGTCTGCAAGTAATTATTTTTTGTCCACCGACAAGGCTAAAGAGGACATCACGTTACTGGTCCCAGTCTCTTGATTAATTCACTTTTTAGTGTGAAAGCTTA